ACGAGTTTTTGGAGAAGACATTTTCTGGGTTTACAGACTAGAAACAAAGGGAAGATTAAGGTTTGAACAGAGAAAGAGGAAGGATTCTGACAAAAACCGAGAAAACTGAACTCTGAGAAAGCTAGGTTTTGAGATGAACAGGAACTGGAGGTTTCAAATCTCTTTTAAAGGCTCGAAATCGTGGGGAAAGGAAGACAAGACGCCACCTGATAGCTGATAATGACAAGCTAGTAACTAGCTAGTAATTGACCAATTTCCCACGAAGTCTAGTTCGTGGTAGGTGGACGTGGCAGACGTGGGATGTTTTAATCTGGTGCGCACAAATTAATAGCCGAAAACATTAAGCCTGAAAACCGTTTAAAAACGATTCAGACTTAATGGGGACATTGTTTGGGCTTAAATTTGGTGTGCCTGGTCCAGAGATAAAAACCAACATCGTTTTGGGCCGCTAAAATTTGGACCTAAAAATGACGTCCTTGACGCCCTCAACCCATCAACGCACCCAGCCCATTAAACAAACAGGCCAAAGCAATATCACTTAGTCCAAAGAAACGTTAGAGGCCTGGAAGCGATCAAGAAGAAACCTGGGCCCTGAAGAAAGCCAAAACAGGTTTTGAGCCAAAGGAACAAATGGGCTTGGCAGCTTTTAAAATGAAAAAGGAACAGACCCATGTGACCCCTGACTTGGAAAAGTGAACAAATTCGGCTGAAATTAAAGATTGAACAGGAGCAGTTATAAAGAAGGACGTCTCTGAAAGAACTCTGTTGCCAGGAGATCAAACTCCGTTTTAATTAAATCAAAAGATATTTTCCTGTACCAGAGAAGACACCATTTTCAAGGGATAAGCAGACTCTGCCTCTGAGAAAAGAAGATAAGCGGGAAACAGGGAGCTGTTCAAAAACTGAGAACTTACCATCTCAAAACTTCAGATTCTTGCAAAAAGCAGTTGAAATGGAAGAAGGGCATGGCACCCCATCAAAATACAGAGAAAGTGGTCACTTCAGGAGCTGATTGTTGAGTGCTTGCTTGCCAGAAAATAGATAGAACCCCTTTTCTTTTTCCTTTTAAAACTAAAAGATCTTTTGAGATTATTTGCCGCCCAATATTAAAAGGATCAAGACTCCTGCTCTAAAAAACATTTCTTATTTATACAAGAAAGGGTGAACAGAGCAAAGGACAATCAATCAACACAACCAAAAACTCAGTCAAAAGACAAACACTCAAAATGATCACTTGATCATAGAAAAGTTCCAAACAAAGTCCAACAGACCCGGAGTCTGAAGCACTTCAAATTCAAAAGCTTCCCAAGAAGCTTGCAGAATCATCTTGCTTTTCTCAGCAAAGACAGTTAGAACACTGCCTCTGATTCGAATCCCAGTTCACAAGTCAACAAAAACGAGATTTCTCTCGTTACAAATTTGGTTCAGCAAAGCCAAGACAAGCAGAGTTTGAGTTTTTCTCAAATACGAAAACCTCAAAAAATTTATGGAGAGCCCTGACTAAGCAGCACAGGTACCACAGTACAGCTCCAGCTCAAGTCCAGCCACTTCTGCCCCTTTCAGACTGGAGAAGTCCTAGTTCTGCCCATCCAAAAGCCTTCCAGGGCTTGAAATAGATTAAAGCTCTGCCAAACTCAAGCTTTGGTATCGATTTGCAGCTGAAACCTAGCAGTTGAAGCTGTTGAAGGTCCAGTCCAGCACAGGCATACCCAGTCCAGCCCAGAACAGAGGCCTCCATCCAGACAGAAATGAAAGCACAGCCTTGTTTTTGTCTTTTTATAGTCAGTTTTCCCTTTTTGAACTTTGTAAAGGGGAGTTCTGCCTGAAAACGGTTCACTCTGTTATCATTTATTCTGGCCAGAACTACCAGTTTTATACTGAGAAAAATTATGAAGTCCTTACCAGTCTAAGGCATAGAAAAGAACTTACTTGGGAAATATTCCTCACCCAAATTCACAATCGCTTGTTCAAAAATTAGTGACTTGGGGCGCAAGTTATCTATTTTTAAAAGAAGTCTGCTAGGATTTGTATCGCTAGCAGTGGCATGCTCGACACACAAAGAAAGTTAATCTATTGACCAATCATGGTTTTTGGATTAATGGGGAACTTTGCCCTACCATCACAAGAAACAAATCAAAACGGGTGAACAGTACCCATACACCAAAGGACTGTAGAATTTTCCTAAATTAAGAGAGAAAAACACACCACAAGTTTGATGGGATAAGGCTCAATGGACTCATTCGGGTGTAGGATTAAGGTCTCAATTCATGTGTACCACCTACTTACTTTTAAATTGTAGTGGGGTCATGGCCACTCTCACATTCAGTGCCAAGGCTTGTCAATTGGTGGGTATCGATTTGCCAATTGATGGGTATCGATTTGCCAATTGGACTGTAACATATTTTAATGTTTAATAAACCTCTTTACCTCTAATACCAGGTTTCCCGGTTTTCCATACCAAGGGTGTAGATTAGTCCATATCCCACTAATCTCAATCTAAGGGCCCATATCCTTTGGTGTACCCATACACCACAGGACTGTAGAATTTTCCTAAAGGCTTATTATCACAAAATGTCACTAAGGTTTACGAAACTATCATATTGCATCCTTAATGTTTTTTTGTGTCATTGGTGGTCCTCAAGGTTAGTATATGTGAAAACAAATAGTCCCTGCCGTTAGGTTCCGTCAAAAACTCCGTTAGTCTGCTGATGTGGCATATATATATATCACAAAACATCCTTAGGTTTACACATCGATCACAAATGG